TTCAGTTCGTTCCAAAAGCCAATTTCCGCCCTTAACTATATTTCTAGACTAGGATAGTCGCAAAATGCGTGACCTAAGCAAACGCTTTTTTTGCATTTCAATTATTATTGTGTATTGTGACACTTAACGACATCTAGTGGCGAGTAGTGGTACTATGTACTATCTTTTTCAGACGAGTTAGTCTGCGTAGGAAAGGCGTATTTTGGAGACCCCTGAGTTAGGTAATCAAAATCTAAATCATAGAGCTTTAACTTGTTTTGGACAAACAACAGAAAAAGTGGCTTCATTTTTGAGGAAACGAGATACTAAAATTCCATATAGAACAAGTAAAACGTTGGGAAAGTTATTTGAAAATAATAAACACAAAACCATCCAAATTCGAGAAATCAGAAGTATATAAATTAAAGTGTGGAACATATCCTAAGGTACATATTGGTCAAACTGGCAGAACATTTAGGAATCGAATCCCCGAAATATTTTTCGAACAAACAGCGGAGTGGAATCCTGAAACCTACTTTTCAAAATGAGGAAGTAGAAAAAAACAATCGAACAGTTACAAACTACCAACAAAAAAATTGAATATTCGTTTTAAAGAACTTCATTCTCTCATTTGAGATTTTTTTGAGGAATATTGTCACATTTTTTAACTTCATATCGAACATTGTGAACATTACCATGAAAGTTGTGAAATTGAACTAATACATTTGAACGAAAATACCAATTTCACTTATTTTTTATAAAAGCAGAGGGGAGTTTCTATGAAATATCATCCAGGAGTAGCTATTTTTTGGGGGTTATTAATTTTGTTCATACATTTTCTTGGTTTAAGGCCTACATAAAGGCAGCACCAGCCTGAACATTAATTGTTCTTGAGAGCGCTTTGGGGATTATAAAACCCGTTTCTCTTCGTATTCCTTTTGAAAGGCTCTATATTGAATTACCAGCAATAAAAATACATAAAATCGATCGACATACAAAGACACTTAGTTGAAATGTTTTCCTCGGATGTCCCAAGAAACAGCTCCGGCTTCAATTGTTTCTATTTTTTTTGTTTTTCATTTTATCCAGAATTGGGAAGCTTGCGAAGCTTTGAAAGAATTATTCATATTGTTTCAACAATATGCATGAGTTTCATTAAAAAAAATCCGTTTTTCGTGTCGAACAAAAATATTCGTTTAGTATTCATTTAATAATAGTATATTAAATATTTGTGTAATGAATATAGCACTAATTTTTCATGGATATTGATGAGACTACAGAGGATCTGAGAGAAATGGTAAATTTGCGGGGATGTATAGAAAAATTCTTAACCTACTTTAGAAGCATGCATAATTTCTTTGGAAGATTCTCTCATCCCTTTTTTTGTATCAAATGGAGTAGTAGAAAGCCAAAAACTTTCTTTCCCAAAAAATCAAAGTATTTTATTATTCCACAAACTATACTTTTAATTGTCCAATTTTATCACAGCCAACCTACGATGCCTCTAAACCTTGGAATTTTTTTTATTCTGCTCTGCAAACCGGGCCTTCACAACTTCTATATCACCTCTTCGTGGAAAGAAAATTCACTATATCTCAGGATTTTTCTCAGTTCAGGAAAGATATGATATACAAGTATCGATTAACAATTTTTGATTGATTTCCATCATCTGATAGGATAGGATAATTTTTTAATTCCAAAAACAGAGTTTAATGAGTGATGTAACTTTTCATGATATTTAGGTTTTTGGTGTATTTCCAGTAGTAACTGTGTATGTTGCTGAATTTCCAAATGTCGGTTTCTAATTCATACAACCAGAAGACATATTGTTTTCAACCATTTCAAGCCCATTTCAAGAAATAGTCGATATAGTAGGGAAATTATTTTTTCTCTATGCAAGGCCGTAGCCAGGGGGGTCCAGGAGGATTGATCCCCCTCCCCCCGAACAATGTGAGGATTTTGTGAGGAATACCAAATAAGGGCGGGAAAATGTGAGGATTACGATCATACAAAATGAACTTATTGCAATTTGTGGTGAAATAGTCCAAAAACATTGTGCAGGAATTGAATACTGCGAAATTTTTTTCAATACTTGTTGACGAAACTAATGATGTTTCACAACAAGAACAAATGCCCATTTTTATGCGATATGCCAAGCCAAAAGATAATAATGTGTTTATCTTGCGTGAACATTTTTTAACTTTTGTAATAGTTGAGAATACAAAAGGAAAGTATTTAGCTAATGCAATTTTATCTGAATTAAAATATTTGGGAGTAGATTGCGAATATTTAATCGGGCAAGGATATGATGGAGCTTCTTCGATGAAAGGAAGTTTTAAAGGTGTGCAGGCAGTAATTCGTGAGTCACATCCAGAAGCGTTATACGTCCATTGCAGCTCACATTGATTGAATTTAGCTCTGGGTTGTTCTTGCCAAGTTCAGCCTATTCAGAATACTATTGGAATAAAATTGTTTTCTGGCTATGGCCTTGTCTGTATGTAAAACTTTAATACCAGTATAATTTAGTTTATGTTCTGTTTCAATAGTGTTATGCTAAGGCACATTATTCCTTATTGGCTTTTATTTTTTTAAGGACGTAACACAAGCACTACAGGAAAATTCTTATCTATAAAAGAGAGACAAGTCTCCAAGCAGAGAGCATATTTTTATGATATTTGAAGATAAATTTCCAAAATTAGGTGTAGAAAGATTTGTAGGTGAATTTTCAAAGGATGACTTTTTGTTGATTTCATTGAGCTTTGTATTACCTACTGCTAGTATTGAATATGATTTCAACAAGAAATTTTCAATTATATGAGTTACCAATTAATTTATCTCTGAGGGTTTATTGATATTTTTATTTGCCGGAGTGTCGAATTAGGCCCAATTAATTTCATATAAAATGAACAGTAATTGATGTATCTTCCCGAATTAGTAGGTTTGTCAGTAGGTAATCAAAGAAACATCAGTTCTACAGATGATTTTTGTGTCAAGAAAAGAAAAGGTATTATTATTCTCTATTTCGATAGTAAATCGCAAGGTTTGAATAAAGTTGCTCACAATATTAAGAACTTCATGAGATTTGTCACTAGGTATGGCACAAATGACATCGTCAACTTATTTTTTCAAAAATTTATTTGAAAACTTATTAAGGAATATTTTCTGAAAGGTCGTACATTACGTATTGAACAATAATAGAAATAGAAGAAATTGTAGCTTTCATTGGTGTACCTTCAAAAGAAAAATAACTGAAACTGAAAATGAACTCAATTATTTCTAATTTTTTTGGCTTATTGATAATTTTTGATTCATATCATTCAATCTTTTGTTGCTGCTTTTTTCCATTAGATCTACATATATGCTGAAAAGTAAAATATATATTTTCTTGGGATATTTAGGTTGAAGTCTATTCGACAAACAAAACATCTACTTGAAGAACGAAAGAGCGGAAATGAAAGTGATTCTGGAAGGAATATAAATAAAATCTTGTGTCTTAGCATAACAAGCAATAGGTGAGGATCATCAAATGGATTTTGGAAACGCTAGTGTTAATCCATTGATTTCGATAAATTAAAATAAAATATTCTGATATTTCGGTATGTCCACTATGTATTATTGACAAAATTATGTCTATGCTAATTCAGTTCTGTCATTTTATATGAGTCATTGGTTATTCATTGGTTGAATTTGAAGTGGATTATCTTAGCGACTGGAGAAATATGCAGGAAAATGGATTAACGGGGCCTCTCAGTCAAAATTCAAAATCAAAACTCTGTTTTACTTTGCTAAGCTTTTGCTTCTTATGGGAAGCTTCTTCGGGGTCTATCATTTATCAAGTTGTGGATTTTTCTCTTTGAATAACATTACAAAATTATACTTACAGTAAAAATGAGTGTAAAACAATGAATTGAACATATAAATTGATTACAAGAAGTGAAACATGTATATGAACTTTTTGTTTGACAAATGTCATACCTTCACATAAATGTCATTTTTCGTATACATGATGATTTGATAGGATAATCGTTAAGAAGTAGTTTCATTATTAGTATGTTTTTGGTGTAGTTTCAGTAAGTTACTTTATATGTTGCTTAGATCATCAATGTCAGTTTTTTTATTCTCACAATCAGAAGGCATATTGATTTCGATCATTTTAAGCAAAAAGACGTTTGGAAATATTTTTTTCTGTACGTGAAATTTTGATAATAGGGTAATTTGGTTTATGTCTTGTTTCTGTAGTGTTTTGTATTATTACACATGCTTTCTTATTCATTGAGTTTTATATTACTTTATATCATTAGGATATCAAGATGTTATTCCAATATAATCCAAGTTACAATTGTTATTTGGAATGTTATAAATCACATTTGACTTTTTTGTAGTATCCGTTTTATCTTTCAATTTAGTATTCAAATTCTTTATAGTTTTAATATTTTTTGGCATATTTTGATATTTTATTCATTATGGAAAAGTTTTATGATATTTGAGGATACATTTCCAAGATAGGTATAGATTTATAAGAACAATTGATAGGTAAACTATCATTACATATATTTCCGTTGATTTCTATGGTAAATTATAAATTTTTATAGTATCTACTGACATCAAGAATTTCATTAGATTTGTCATTGCACAAATGACATCGTCAACGTATTTCATTAAAAAGGGAATTCGAAAACTCAGTTCAGGAAATATGTTTTCAAAAAGATCGTCCATTACGTATTGAGCTTTAATAGGAGAAATGGTAGCTCCCATTGGTGTAACAAGAATTTGTTTATAGTATTTACCTTCGAAAGAAAATCATGAAGATACGTCATAAAAATATACGTGCAGGCCGATGCGCCCCGCTCGGCATTAGGGGTGCTTCACCCCACGGAGTGCCGGTAGCAGTGAAGGGTGGGGATCGCGAAGGGAGGCAAAAGTTGAAAGAACGGGGGGGTGGGCGTGGTCCGATATGCGCGCTCACACATCCGATCGCAGCACGTCGGCATTTCGGGGTTTAGTACGCATTTAGCTCGTATCTAGAGTGATATGTTGTGTTACGTCATTATACAGAAAAACAAATTTTGGTTTCGCTTGCAAAAGTGACCCTTTTCGGCTATTTCGAACACTTTTCGGCCCCGCCACGCGAGTAAATCTTTTGCGGATCCTTCGTTTGTCGGCGTTTATTTTTCGTTTTCGTGCGAGTTCTCGTTTTTTTTTTCTCTGGAACAAATTGACGTTGTTTTTTTCGTTCGTTCTCGTTCAGTTAACCGGTAGGTTGATGTGTGAGTGAGGTTCGTACTTTAATCCAAGACTGACTAATCTTAAGTGCGTTTTGTGATTTGTTGTTTAATTGTTGTGGTTCTGGATAGTAGGGATTTTTTCGATTGGTCACTGCAATGGAAAAGTTCCAGGAACAACCGGACGACGATCAGGATCAAGTTTTTGAAGTCGAGGAACCCGAACCGAGGTGAGATTCGTTTTTATAGAAGAGACAAATTCACGATAAATGAAATTCGAATGTTGAGAGAGAAATTCCAATTAAAGGAATCGTCTGGGTTCACAATGTGACAGAGAGTGATATTCAATTAAAATACATAAATATAGATTTGATGACAGTCCGAGAAACATCGACATGAGTCCACGAAAATTCATGACTATGAGTGTTTCTACTCGAGAGAGTGTTTGTTGACGGTGCCATTTTTGTATGAGAAGGGAAAATGAACATATATCGTACACTTCTACAAACACTATCTATACCGGACGAAGGGGCCTATAAAAATATATAGTTGTAAGTTCAGTAAAAACTGATTTAATTAATGACAGAAAGCCAGGGCAGCAGCAAACATATCTCATAAAGTTGAAGAGAAAATATTTTTTGGAAGAGATTAAATTTGGGAAAACACTTTTTTTGGGAAAGAAACGTTTTGGCTTTCTACCTCTTCATCTTCATACAAAAAATGTGGCAATATTTCAAATACACCGTAAACTTTTTAAATTAATTTGTTTCTTTCTTTGGGAGATTCCCACATGTTTTTGCATGGAGATGATCTCTTCAAAAAATGTGTTGATAATACTCTGGGTATTAACTACTTAGAAATACAAAATAGAAGAAAAAATCCGAAACAGACTGGTAAAACGTTGACTTAAATCGTTTTTTCTTATGCCGTTTGTACACCAAGCATTTAATAGGAGTCAAAAAGAGGTTTGTCCCATAAGAACATTTTAAAACGAATATTGTATTCGCATTGTATTGTATTTTATTTGTATTGTATTGTATACAATATAGTAATCGTTTGAAAATGTTCTTATAGGTCGAAACGTTAGTTAGAAATACAAGTAGTAAAAGCATATCCATCAATTAAATAACTAGTATCATTTCTATAAAATTTTACTTACAAAATAAGCTTCAGGGTTCTAGGTAGGCTTCTCAAGTTTTCAGATGAAATCACTAGCATCGTCCATAGATATTCTAATTATCTATGGACGATGTCACTAGTTTCCCAATCATCATCAGACGATGAGGATGAAAGACGAACCACTCGATTCTTGCAACAAATTTACGACAGTTCGACATTTCATCGCAATAACAGTTCTTAAAAAGCATTACTGCAACTAGTTACTTCATTTGATTCAAACCTTAGAAATTACAATCTTTCATAATCTAAAAAAAAATTAAATTGTACCTAATATAGAATTATTTTTCAAGAGTATCCAGTTCTAGCGCAGTATATGAAGCTTTTAAGCTTTACTCTATGGTTCCTGTGTATTGAAATAAAGTTTTGCGTGAGCACCAATATTTTTTTTATTAAAAAAATATCTCATTCATTAGGTACTAGCGCACTCGCCAAAAAATTGGCTTTTACCGATAAACTTTTGAATCGTAGGTTACATAATTGAAGTTTTCCTATAAAGATATCTAATTTGTTTTGCTATAATACAGCTCATTTGCTTTCTGTAGGTGAAATAGCTTTTGAAGTCGGTTAAATAGTTTTTGAATCATTCATCATGAACTAACAAATTTTTTGAATGTAAACTATTTTCAAAAATACATATATCTACAGCCAGAAGGAATCATTGAAATGATCTTTCTTTGTTTCCAAAAAAAAAAATCCTTTCAATGGATATTTTCTGCCAAAGGATGGATCGCATAATCCATTTTAGTTCATAAAATTATATTTTAACTGAATGCTTGATATACTTACCTGTTCTCATTTTTTTACTTCTTTCAATTGCTCTACGTATTTTCACTGTACAACTAAAAGTTGTTCGTTTACGATTCACTTCTAAAGAAATGGTCGCCAGTTTTCTCGATTTTACTAGACATTCCTATTCTATTCCTTATTCACAAGATCGAAAAACAACACTTTCTTTGACAAAGGTCTTTAGTCCTGAAATTAAGAAAATCTACCTGGAAAGTGTATCATTTTTCTTCTTGACAAACCACCACCAATGCAGTACATTGATTAATTGTTACTTAATTAGTTTCGCACAAGTTTCGACTTCTGAGGGTTGTCGTTCGTAGGGGTGCGACAGCTGGTTAACGGAAAAATATATTTTAAACAGATTTTTAAACATAAGATGGATTTTTCTTCCAGTTTTTGTGTGAACGTCACTTTTTTGCATGATCCACACATCTTTCTTCTTTTGTATGAAGATGGAGACGTAGAATGCCGAAACATTTCTTTCCCTAATATCAATCTCTCCGAAAAATATACCTCTTCCAATTGATTGATTGATTATTTAACGTAGGAAAACATCATAATAATGACCTATTGCCCGTATTCTTCCGATTCGTCGCTCATACACTTTTTTTCCCTTCATGTCAAACAAAAATGCTTGTACAGCGATTTTCATCATCTCTAAAAGCTGATGTAGTTTCCCAATACTGTGTTTTTCAGATTTAAGTGTCAGAATGGAAAGACTATTTCAAAAATAGATTTCATTATTATTTTTTTTCAAATCAAAAGGTAACACTTCTACATTATTCAAAAATCGTCAAGTTCAAAGTGTTTTGGCAAAACATTTGGCAAAAGTCACATGGGCCATTTGCGATGTCGATGGGAGTCTTACAAGGTTTACAACTGGGCCCTCTATTCGACTAAAATCATTAAAATCATTCGTGTATATTTGTGAAATGTTCTTATTGCAAAAACTGAAAGCAAATTCACCAAAGTGGAAACAGAGATGATCTTGACAAACTCTTTCAGTAATGAACATTATTCATTAGACTCCCTAAGAATGTTTACAAGAGTGTCAGTTTATACATGACATTACCGACAGTTTATATAACTCAACGACTAATACATTATACATATTCGGTTATAAATACTGATAAACGGAATATTTTCTGTAGTGATCACAATAAGTGAATGATTCAAAATTTAATATCATTCGTGTATATTTGTGAAATGTTCTTATTGCAAAAACTGAAAGCAAATTCACCAAAGTGGAAACAGATGATCTTGACAAACTCTTTCAGTAATGAACAGTATTCATTAGACTCCCAAAGAATGTTTGCAAGAGTGTCAGTTTATACATGACATTACCGACAGTTTATATAACTAGTGAATATTACTGGAGTTTTTTCCCAACACCAAACCGTTATTTCAACATCTTGACACGTGTTTCGATCACCATGTGATCATCTTCAATGGGAAGATCAAACTCAGTTTGATCTTCCTCTTGCATTTTTTATATTTGCACATATATTTCTGTAAATGCTCAGTTACCAGGTGTTCTTTCAGTCTGTTCTGTACATAATAATATCAGTGAACGATTTTGAGAAAGTAAATAATAATGTTGTTATATTTTGAAAATAAAAAATAAATCTATCACATCACAAATGGTGTTAATTTATCATGTCACAAAATTATGTCCTAAGTGTTAGTTTCAATTAAACATATTTTTGAAGTATCTTGCCTTAGAATTGGTTGGATAATGTTTTTTTATAGCTAGAGATACTGAAAGAAATATAAAAGGATTTTTGCAGTAAATACGAACAACCAGATCATAAAGAGAGATGAATGTATAGTTTGGAATTGTGAGCTACAGATAGATCCATGAGTTTTTAGAGGAAATTGAGTAATATAGCTGTTTGTAATTAATATAGTGATTTATAGTATAATTATCGATAAGCGGACCAAGAATTGAACCTTGCAGTACTCCTAAGTTCACAGGTTAAGGAATTCGAATACTGAATATCTGAATATATGGATTGAGATGGATTGTTCAAATAATTTTGTAATAGTAAACATTCGATTATCAAATCCAAAGAAAGCTCACTTTCTATAAAGAGAGTTATGGTCTAAATATCTGATGTCTTGGTCTAATCAAGAGGATAAACTAGTGAGTCGATCTGGTAGTCTTTTGTTGGTCTCAAGTGAGAAAATTCTTAAGAATTCTCCAGTTTTGGTATTGGAAGAAATATTGCTTCTTTCCACACGGAAGGAAATATATTTGTTATGGTTGCTTGCAGTATTGGAAATATAGGTAATATGATGGATGAGATAATCTAACATAAGAAGTGAAATGTTGTCAACCTCAACACAGTTACTCTTTATACAAAAACTAAATTGGGAAATAAAAATGAAAGATTTTGAAAGAAGAATTGAAAATTGATAACCTCCTTTTCTGAAGTCGGTAATTAAAGTAAAATTCGAATCACGCTAAGATTCTACTTCAGATCATCACTTTAGTCATTCTGTCGTGTATGTTTACAAAATTTTCCTAACATTCTTTATGAGACCGCTATTTACAGAAGTCTATTGCATATGCAGCTCGTTGGTATTTGGGTCAAACGACCTATTGGCCGCTTTGTTAACCGACTTTACCTAATGAACCTTCCTGGAAGGTCACTAGCCTGGAATGCACGTCTTCTCAAGTTTGATATTCGTCAGTGCAGTGCAGGAGCTTGCAAGCTTTTTTGGTTTTGGAACGTCTCGTTCACGAACAAGCTGGTAAAATATTTTGTATTATTTTATTGTTCGGAACTTTGATATGCCAGTTGCCGCTCCTGTATAATTTTTGAAAAAGGAAGGGTTGCCGCCTTTCATTGAGGAAGCAAGTACGATTGCTTTGGATGTTATACGCCTTTTTGTGAGTCTGAGTCTCAGTATTCAAAAATTTGAGGAATGTTTTTGAAATATATTTCTTTGGAGTCACTGTTTTTTGATGTTTTTCAGCTTTGAACCCTCCCACAATCTGAAGAATCGGTGAATCTGGATCAACAGCAGAGAATCTGCTGAAAAGTTACGTCATGTAGCCTCTAAAGAGTCCAACTAGTCCTTAACTTGACGTATAAATACATTTTTCGTATCAAATAAGATAAATTATGGCTCTAATTTTACTAGCTATACTCAGATGACGTTTCAGAAACCCTTCTCCCTTTTCAAAAACCAAAATTCTTTATGAACAACGCCGTAGTTGCAATCCGTAGTTTACTTTTGACTAACGGAAGAAGAATAGAAA